TGTGCTTGGAAAATCCCTTATTTTGGCTGCTGATCCCTTATTTTCAAATCTGTAAGTTGACAGCTATGCCTCCTGTTCTCACACTGGCCAACTAGATGCCCTTTATGGGGAAACCTACAAGCAAGATACGAGCTCAGAAACCCTTTCCCCTTTTGCGGTTTTCAGCAACTGGGATTCGGGAATGTTGCTACCATCAACTGCGACAGCCAGAGCACAGCAAAGAAAAACCCAGGACATTTGTGAGTTGAGGAACCGAACCCGCGTGGTGGTAAATAAGAGACAAGAACACAAGAATTTTAAGTTAATGGGCTGAAAAAGGCCACAGCTTTTATTGGTTACAGCATGAGAGCGGTTTTGGCTTAGACATTGGATAAAACAACCTGTACATGACCCCACCTGCGCAGCAGGGGTCTTTTGACGGTAAATAAACAGTGGGAGGAGCTTGTTGATGCAAATACAACTGGAAGCTTCCCCTGATGTCACCGGTGGTCGTTCCATGGCCCTAGCCACCGACAGGGCATCGGACAGGATCCACAACTGCCGGATTCCTTTAATGGAATACCCAAAAAGGAGGGGTAAGTGGTGGCCAAACCTCACCCACCAACGCACAACACACATTCCAATGCCTAACCGCCAATACCAGAAAGTTGTGGTGAATCGCTGTGAGGTAGGCGAAAAACCAAGAGGCTGGTGCCAATTAGCCAAATGGATAAAAACTCCTACCAGGCCCCTTGGGCAACCAGGGCAACCAACCAAAGTCCATAGCAAGGTCAGAAACATGAACCTAGCCTAAAGGGCGGGTGGGCGGGTGATCCGTCATCTTCCGAGGGCTGAATGAGGCGCTTGAATGTGGCTAAGCCCCTCCCCCAGAGCAGCCCTATTGGCTGGCCAGCTAAGGGGGTGGCGCTGCAGCTGGGAGATGATGCGGGGGGCTGAACACGCCCCCCCCATTGCCACGGGAACAGTTCCCACTCACAATACCTCCCGTCTGTGAGGAGGAGAGGCTTTGTAGTACAGTGGAACCTCGGGTTACAAACACTTTGGGTTACAGACGCTTCAGGTTACAAACTCCGCTAACCCAGAAATAGTACCTCGGGTTAAGAACTTTGCTTCAGGATGAGAACAGAAATCGGGCTCCGGGGGCACGGCAGCAGCAGGAGGCCCCATTAGCTAAAGTGGTGCTTCAGGTTAAGAACAGTTTCACGTTAAGAATGGACCTCCAGAATGAATTTTGTTCTTAACCTGAGTTATAAAGGTAAAGGTAAAGGGACCCCTGACCGTTAGGTCCAGTCGTGACTGACTCTGGGACTCTGGGATTGCGGCACTCATCTTGCTTTATTGGCCGAGGGAGCCGGCGTACAGCTTCCGGGTCATGTGGCCAGCATGACTAAGCCGCTTCTGGTGTACCAGAGCAGCGCACGGAAATGCCGTTTACCTTCCCGCCGGAGCGGTACCTATTTATCTACTTGCACTTTGACGTGCTTTCGAACTGCTGGGTTGGCAGGAGCAGGGACCGAGCAACGGGAGCTCACCCCGTCGCGGGGATTCAAACCTCCGACCTTCCGATCGGCAAGTCCTAGGCTCTGTGGTTTAACCCACAGCGCCACCCGCGTCCCTTAACCCGAAGTATACCACTGTATAAAAAAGATCTCAGGACTTCAGCGCCAATTGGAAATGAAGCAGAGTGTCGACCCGAAAATATTTGCACGTGGAGACTGTGCTGTAAGGAGGATTGAACAATATTGTAAGGATTGTAGAGGGAGGGGTTCTTGGTTTGTTTATCTCATTTTTATCTTGTATTATTTTATGTTTTAAAGCACCTGAGAGCTACGAGGGAAGGGCAGTATACAAATTTAATTCACCATCATCACGTATATTCACCCCAATATACTACCATGAACCTGAATGCACAGTTAAAAGGATATCTGGAAATATATCTCCCCACTCAGAAGTTCTTTTTTCAAAATTAGTTTTTATTAAAGATTTTTTTTTGTGTGATGCAAAACAAATGAATGAGCAAGGCAAAGTACATACAGCATCTTCACTCTCAATTAATAGAGGTTTTTTCATAGTTCATTTATGTTCAGTATAAGACATGGGGTGGGGAGAAAGGGGGAGAAGGGTTGGCAGAAGATATCCCCAAATATAAGCTGGGCAGTTTTGACCATTCCTGCTGAGAAGTGGGCCTGATCCAAATATCCCCTAGTTTAAACTTACGGGGTCCTTATAGCAGTTTCAGGGTGGAATTCTCCCCCAATGAACATTGAAGATGCATATATCAGCCTTGCCCAACCCTTTGCCCTCCAGCTGTGTCAGACTACATGAAATATACTCAGAGTCGAGAGTGGATTTCATGCTCTTTATTCAGCGCATAGTGATGAGGAGGAATGAATGTTCCCCCAAAATATCTGCTTTATATACATTATTTACACAATGGGCCACACATGATTGGCTAATTCTGGGATTCTCCTGTAGGCCAATCAGGTTGTGGATTCACTTCCACCTGGAGCTGGATTGGGTGGCTCCTGCAGACCAATCATACTGCTGCATTGTTCTAGGACCAGTCAGACTGCTGCATTCTGAATCCTATTGTTCTAGGACCAATCAGACTGCTGCATTCTGGATCCTATTGTTCTAGGACCAATCAGACTGCTGCATTCTGAATCCTATTCAACTCAGTACATAACACTACAATTCGCATTAGCCCCAGTTAGCAAAGCCAATGGTTTGGGATGATGGGAGTCGTCAAAGTCCAATCCTGGAGGGCACTAGGTTGGAGAAGGCTGGCACATGCATTCCCTTCTCTTGGCAGCCACATCCACAAAAGCAGGCGAGAACCAAGGCAGCTTATGCCAGCAGAAAATAATGCCTGAAATGGTGCAAAAACATCAGCAAAAACTTTGGAAAGGGAAGACGTTTCCAGAAGAGAACATCACTTTCTCCCACTTCTACTCTGAAAAATTAGAACAATTTCAAAACAAGCATACAGCATCCGTGAAGCAGTCACCACACACAGGAGAGATTCGGGTGGATATTATCTATAATGGAGGGAAAGCAAATGAGCGCTGGTCCGTGAGTCAGGAAGGCAATTTTCTACTCACATGTGATTTGTCTGCCTTAATCAGCGTCATCGCTGCCACCAAGGAGGTGACATTTCCTACCTGCTTGTTAAAGTTACATTAGCAGGTATTTTTAACATTTAGGAAGGAAATAGCTAGAGACCTGGAAAGGTCTGGCTGTTTAGTTCGAGTTGGCTGCTTGCTTGCTCCGAGTTCAGGACGAGGCAAGCTCAGTCGTTTGTTTGGGAAACAAAACCCAGGGGTCTGCAAACTCAAGCACCACACACACACACACACACACACACACACACACACTGCAACTTTTCCCTTGGGTACAACAGAGCACGTCTAAGTCTAATTTCATTGGAGGGATGGATGGGAGTTGGCCAGCTCTGGATGGAGTTACACTCTGTGGGAGCAGGTACGTAGCTTGTGGACACTCCTGGATCCATCACTGTCACTTGAGTGTCACGTGGCTTCGGTGGCATGGAGTGCCATCCGACAGCTTCAACTGCTGGCCCAGCTGCAATCCAATCTGGACATGGACAGCCAACTTCTGTTGCCCACCTCTGGGAACCTCTGTGTTAGATTACTGCAATGTGCTATATGCGGGGCTGCCTTTGAAGACAGTTGAGAAACTACGCCCATCTCATTGGCCAAAGCAAGATAGTTTAGAGATAGATTGCCAATTCTGGCAGGACCGCAGTGGTTTCCAATTCATTTCTGGGCTCAATTCAAGGGTCATTTTGACCTATAAAGCCTTATCTGCCTGAGGACCCCAGTACCTCAAGGTCCACCTCTCCTCACATGAACAAACCTTGCATTCGTCATGTGAGCCCTTCTCCATGTGCCCCGTCCAAGAGATACATGGAGGATGTCAACATGAGAATGGGTTTTCCCTGTGCTGTCTCCCCGCTTACGGAATGTTTTCCCCCAGGAAGCATGCCTGGTGCAAACACTGTGTATTTTGAGGCGAAAACACTTCTTTTCCACTAGGCCTCTGTTTGTTTGTTTGAGATTCGTGGCTTCCTTCAGTGCCCTTTCAATAAATATAAAAACCACCCTGGGCACATATATCCGGGAGTATAAGTCCCCTTGAACTTGTCTTCCTTCAGAGTAGACACATAGAGCATTGCAGGCCATGTTTGCATAGGAGCAATGCCGCTGACAACCCATTTGCATCCCTGGGCAAAGGGAAGGCATCCTGCGGTCTGAAAAGGCATCCGGCACAACGGCCGACAGAGCCAGGAAGCCACAGGAAAAGCAGGTCTGACTTTGTGCTCAATCTGCCCATCCCTACCCAGGGACGATTTTAAGGACAGTGGCATCCCATCTCCTTTGATGGATGTGCCAAGAATCAGTCCCCTCCTGAGTCCTCCCCTCCTTAATGGCTCTCTTACTCAGGAGGAGAGGGTGCTGTGCCAAGCTGGTATTGGGAAGATGGCGTGAGGTGACCCTGCGGAACAAGACATACCGTTTCCAGAACAGACATAAAATGAAGACCCTGACCTGTTTCAGGCATTAAATATACGACACGTGTCTTGTTTGTCTCTCCCCATTCCAAGACTAAGGTAGTTAACCTCAAGGCTTTGGCGGGAGTCCAGCTTGCGTCATTGCATTCTTCCCAAGTTAAATTTGCTGGATGAGCTGAGTGTGATTATGTTCTGGCCCAGCGAGAGACGCATGTCCAACCTGGCCTCTCCGGTGATGATTTCATCCATCACCACCATCGTCAGCAGGAAGTGGAGAGGCAACCTTTTAAAGTGTTGCAGCACAAGGACCTCAGAAGATAAGGAGAGCTTATTGCAGGGGTCAGCAAGGCTTACCGGGCATGGGCCGGATCACTCCCGCAGAGATCCTCTGTGGGCTGGACCGGTGCAGCGCGATGCCGGAAATCGCATCTGTGCATGTCTGCGGCACTGGAAATCGCTTCTGCGCATGCCCAAACACTGAAAATCGTTCCTGTGCAGAAGAAGAAGAAGAGTTTGGATTTGATTTCCTGCTTTATCACTACCCAAAGGAGTCTCAAAGCGGCTAACATTCTCCTTTCCCTTCCTCCCCCCACAAAAAACACTCTGTGAGGTGAGTGGGGCTGAGAGACTTCAGAGAAGTGGGACTAGCCCAAGGTCACCCAGCAGCTGCATGTGGAGGAGCGGCGAAGCGAACCCGGTTCACCAGATTACGAGTCTACCGCTCTTAATCACTACACCACACTGGCTCTCACCAGAAGCGATTTCTGGTGCTGCGGACATGCACAGACGCAATATCCAGAGCCGTGGAAGAGAGTCCCTGTGCTGGTTTAGCGCAGAGCGCGGGGACTCGCCGAGCGAGCGGCTCAGTTTGGGGGCAGCTCATGGGCCAGTTAAATGGCCTCCGTGGGCTGCGTCTGGCCCATGGGCCTAAGGTTGCTGACCCCTGGCTTATTGGAACAGGCCACCGGCCCATCTAGTCCAGCGTCCTGTTCTCACAGTGGCAAAACCAGGTGCAAATGGGAAACTCACAAGCAAGATTCAAGCACAGGACATCTCCGCCCTCCTGCACTTTTCAGCAACTGGTATTCAGAAGCACAGCTGCCTCCAAATGTGGATGAATAAAGATGAATGATAGCTCAGATGGTTAGACCATGGTGCTGATAACACCAAGGTTGCAGGTTCGATCCCTGTATGAGACAGCTGCATATTCCTGCATTGCAGGGGGTTGGACTAGATGATCCTCAGGGTCCCTTCCAACTCTACAGTTCTATGATTCTATGATTCTATGATTCTATGAATGTATTGCCAAGAATGTTATTTTTGTTTCAATCATTGCAAATTTTGGACAAAATGGACTGTTTCAAGAGGTGGCAGAGAGACATTTCTAGATTTGTCTGGCAGGGCAAGAAGCCCAGAATAAAATTTAAAATATTAACCGATGCAAAGGACAGAGGTGGATTTGCCCTGCCAGACCTTAAACTTTATTATGAATCAGCAGCAGTTCTGCTGGTTGAAAGAATGGCTGCTTCTTGAAAACACTGACATTTTGGACTTAGAAGGTTTTAATAATGTTTTTGGGTGGCATGCATATTTGTGGTATGACAAGGTTAAAGCACATAAAGCATTTAAAAACCATATTGTCAGGAAAGCATTGTTAAATGTCTGGATAAGATATAAGGACTTACTTGAAAACAAAACCCCAAGGTGGTTGTCACCGATGGAAGCAAAGGCTCAGAAAAGGCTCAATATGGAGGCCAAATGGCCGAAATATTGGGAAATTTTGGAACAGGAAGGAGACAAACTGAAATTGCAGAGTTTTGAGAAATTAAAAGACAAAGTGCGAGACTGGCTTCATTATTATCAGATAATGGAGGCATACAATTTGGATAAGAAAATTGGTTTCCAGGTGGAAAAATCAAAATTGGAAACAGAACTGTTAGAACCCAAAACTAAGATTTTGTCAAAAATGTATAACTTGCTGTTGAAATGGAATACTCAGGACGAAATGGTGAAATCTGCTATGATTAAATGGGCACAAGATGTTGGACAGAAGATTGGAAAAAGTTTAAAGACTATTTACAGAAATATTGCAAAATTAATGAATGCTAGAATGATGTCGGATAGAAACTAAGTGGTCTTTAGCCGAAATGTTATAAGGGAATATGAAAAAAAATGGTTTATTAATAGGTAAAAATCTAAAATTACAAATACTTTATGATTAACGATTAGGATACATAAAGAGGGGAGGGATTTGCTGAACTAATAACTGAATTGGAATACAAAAATAGGAGGTGTGAGGAGGTCCTGGAAATAAGCAAATGAAGGCTAAGTAACGGAAGGAAGGAATTGTTTTTAACTGTTTTTATTTTGTATTTTCCTTTTTTCCTTTTTTCTTTATTTGTCTTGTAATTTTCTGAAAATCTTAATAAATATCTTATTAAAAAAAAAAAGAAACAGGTATAGTGGAAAAAAAAAAAAACAAATGTGGAGGCAGAGAAGAGCCATTGTGGTGATTTGCAACCAATAGCCCTCTCCTCCATGAATTTTCATATATAATTTTTTTATTGGTTTTACATAATTTTATACATTTTAACTTTAACCACTTCAAAACATTAAAATAAAAGGTTCTTTCAAACCTTCAGACCTCCTTCCCTTCCTCCATGGTTTCCATTTTTAAAATAATTTTTTCTGCATCTTTTACCATTATCCATCTGTTATATATCTATAGTTACCACAATTCATTTCACATTACAAGTGTCATTACATCCCTGGCAATGATTTTAACTGTTTACAGTAGTCTTTTAAGTACAGCATATTAAGAATTTATTCCAGTCTTTTAAAAATACTTGATCTTCCTGGTTTCTGATCTTTCCCATCAGTTTTGCCATCTCTGCATATTCCATCAATTTCGTCTGCCATTCTTCTCTGGATGGCAGTTCTCCCTCCTTCCATCTCGCTGTGGTTGTTGCGTACTTAAAAAAAAGTATTTTGCCTTCTTTTGGTATCTTCACCTATTACAGCTATCAGAAAAGCTTCCGGTTTTTCTAGTAAAGGTTTTCTTAAACATTTTCTTTAACTCATTATATATCATTTCCCAGAAAGCTTTTACCACTGGACACTTCCACCACATATGGTAAAAAGTACCCTCTTTCCCTTTACATTCGCAACACAGATTTGAACTAGTTCTATACATTTCCCATGATTTTGTCCAATCCTCTTTTAAAACCATCCCTGCCTCCAGTGGGAGTGAGTTCCACCGCTTAATTCTGTGCTGCATGTAGAGCATTGAAGAGCTGATTGGAAATGAGAGCATCCCAGCTTCGCCGCCGTGTTTCTGTGCGGCAAAATTGGGGGGAGAGGGGGTCATTTCGAGCAATGTCTCAGGAAGGGACTTCAATTCAGGGATGGAAGCAGAATTCAACCCCTGCTGCTGGAACTGCCCCTCCAAAATCCTCCCCCCATGCCCTGAAATTTGCCAGCAGGCAATTCCTAACTTTCAAGCCATCACACTCACACTCCTACAAGCTTTGAACTGGGAGATGTACACAATAGCTTAAGGAGAAAGTTAAATGCAAAGGGGAAGCTTCCTCGACCCAAACTCCGATCGGAAAGTTGGTCTGAGCTGCCACAATCAATAAGACAGGGAGGTGAGATCCTGGCACGGAGCATCGGTGGGACTCCTGCCAAGTGATTCATGAGGACACATCACATTATCAAGACAAATGGGGGCCACTTTCCCCGTCTGCTCATGGTGGAGAGGCAAACCTTGACTACGTGTGGCTGGAGAAATGGGATGATGATCTTCCAAGGTACAGAGGGACAAGGCGGGAACACAAAGGGATTCAAAGTCACTCTAAGGGCAGGAGGTTTGGAGAAGGGGCAGAGCCCTCGTTTAGAGCACTTGCTTTAATAATAATAATATATTTATTTATTTATACCCCACCCATCTGGCTGGGTTTCCCCAGCCACGCTGGGCGGCTCCCAACAGAACACTAAAAACAGAATAAAACTTCAAACATTAAAAACTTCCCTACACAGGGCTGCCTTCAGATGTCTTCTAAAAGCCAGATAGTTCTTTATTTCCTTGACATCTGATGGGAGGGCGTTCCACAGGGTGGGTACCACCACCAAGAAGGCCCTCTGCCTGGTTCCCTGTAGCTTTGCTTCTCGCAATGAGGGAACCGCCAGAAGGCCCTCGGCGCTGGACCTCAGTGTCCGGGCAGAACGATGGGGATGGAGACGCTCATTTGGGTATACTCGGCAGAGGCCGTTTGGGGCTTTAAAGGTCAGCACAAACACTTTGAATTGTGCTCGGAAATGTACTGGGAGCCAATGTAGATCTTTCAAGACCAGTGTTATGTGGTCTCGGCAGCCGCTCCCAGTCACCAGTCTAGCTGCTGCATTCTGGATTAGTTGTAGTTTCCGGGTCACCTTCAAAGGTAGCCCCACATAGAGCGCATTGCAGTAGTCCAAGCGAGAGATAACTAGAGCATGCACCACTCTGGCGAGACAGTCCGCGGGCAGGTAGGGTCTCAACCTGCGTACCAGATGGAGCTGGTAGACAGCTGCCCTGGACGCAGATTTGACCTGTGCCTCCATGGACAGCTGTGAGTCCAAAATGACTCCCAGGCTGCGCACCTGGTCCTTCAGGGGCACAGTTACCCCATTCAGGACCAGGGAGTCCTCCACATCCGCCTGCCCCCTGTCCCCCCAAAACAGTACTTCTGTCTTGTCAGGATTCAACCTCAATCTGTTAGCCACCATCCATCCTCCAACCGCCTCCAGGCACTCACACAGGACCTTCACAGCCTTCACCTGCTTTGAGTGCTAAAGGTTCCACCTTCAGTCCCCAAAGGGACCTCCAATGAGGGCTGGGAGAGACTCTGTCTGAAACCCTGGACAGCCTCCAAGACAAGGTGTTGCCCACCAGACTGGACTCTGTTTCCCATGAGCCCAAGCTAGCATGGCTGATTGTCAGAGGCGATGGGAGCTGTAGTTCAGCAGCAGCTGGAGGACACCATGTTAGATAACCCCAGTGCAGGCAGTGCTCTAACCAGTGGTCTAACCCTGGTTCCGTAAACTCATCTCCAGTGCTCCCTATAAGAAAAACATATTTTTTGCAGAATAGTGCCTTGTACTAAGGAAGAGAATAATGCAATATATTTCAAAACGGTAACAATTAATTGTACATTTATTGAAAATCCAGTCGCAACTGTTTAGTTTAATTAATTCAACAAAATGGATGAGCTTGGCATATCATTTAGCAGACGTCTACCTTATAAGTGGATTTTTGGGTCCTTGCTGCAGCTTCGAGAAACTGAATTTATCTATTTTATTTGACCTTTGATGTAACGACGCCATGATTGTGAAGTTTAATGTGCTGTGAGCGACCTCAAGCCATGCGCAGGTGCGCTAGGGGTATTTCGGCTCAAGAAACAAACAAGAAGAAATGTTTTGTTTCTTCCAGTCGATGATTTTGTTGAAGGGAAACCACCACTTCCCAGAAAATAAATGATAAATTAGTCACTGACCTTACAAGTATCATTTTATATACACACATATCATACCTAACCAGCAATCTTCTTTTTCTAAAAAAAACAACTTAGGATTTAAAAAAACATTAAAAGGAGGAAAACTTTCATTTCATAGTGCTTTAAATGACTAGCAGATGCGAAACATCCTAAATTACAAATATTTATTATTGAATTGAACAATGCTTTGATCCAGTACATTTCCAATTGCATCATGCACAATACATACTCAGTCATGCAGCATAAACTCAGCAATAAAGTCCTCTCCTTATATACTTTCAACTTCTATATGGGGAAAGGAATTACAGAAATTCATATTTCATTTGCTGTTCCAATACTCTCTGAAAGCCTTTTGCTCCTCCACAAATTTATTTACTTGGCATCTTCCTTGCTTGATCCACAAAGTCCATGTAATCCTACTTAATACTCCTAGAACCCAAAGCTTAATGTACATTCCCAGAATGAAGGGATTTCCTTTTGTTTTCAAATATTTGATGTATATAAGGCATGCTACTACTGTACAACCCTGTTGAACGGTAATGTCTCTATTATTTGGCACCAGTCTTATAAAATGTGTTAATAAACAGATGTTTGGGTTTAAGGGTATGTTAGTGGGCAGGGCATTATTGATTACTGAAGATATTTTTTTGCCAGTACCATTTAATTTCTCTGCAAGGTCGCCAGCAATGGTAAATAAATAAAAAAAACCTCCTCTTCTTGCAGTACTGACAATTTTCTCTAGGATAAGCTAGTTAAGTCGAACAAGTAAATTTAACCCAAATGTAACAAATATTTTTTATTTGTTTTATTTTTATTTTAAAGGAATGCAAGATGCACTATTGTTGGTGCCTTATACTGCTGCTCATTGATTGCCACTTAGCTGCTGAGCTAAATCAAAGGCGCTGTTACAATTCCTTCCAGGCATCCTGGAAAAAAATGGGGAACCCCAATTTTTCATGTGAGATCTCAGTGGCCATCTATCAAAGCCACTTCTGACCTGCAGAGGAGGTGGGATTGCAGGCGTCACAGCCCCACCACACGCGTGGAGGCTGGAGCCCAGCTCCCGCGCGATCGGGGGAATCCCCGGTCGTGTCACCCCCTGACCAACCAATCGGCTGGCTCTGGGAGCGTGGCCTGCCCCATTTAATGCAGGTACGGCCAGGGGTCTCCCTCTTTTCCTGCCTATCAGCTGTTCCTGCTTTTCCCACCATCCCACCCTTTAAGGTTTTCTTCCTTGACCTTGTTATGGGCTTCGATTGGTCACCATTGAGGGGTCTGGTAGGAATTTTTCCACTTGGCAAATTGGCACCAACCACTTGGTTTTCACTAACCTCGTAGCAAATCGTCACAACTTTCTGGGTATTGGCGGTTAGGCATAGGTATATTTCTGTAGTTGGAAGAGGGGAGGAAGCGCCATCATCTGCCCTGCATATTGAGGGGTAGACCGATAAAGGATTCTGGGGGGCGTGGCCCTGTCCAAAGACTGGGGAGGTGAGGGCCTAAGGCACGCCCCCTAGCGGTGACCCCGGGGAAGTTCCTACTTGATGTGCATCAGCAGGACTCCCCCTCCTGGTGGTTAACCCTTCCCGGACTTCAAGCGGATGGGCTGAAGTCAGATATAGTCGGTTAGGACCAATGTCTAAGCCAATACCGCTCATCACCTGTAACCAATAAAGTTGTGGCCATATTTAGCCCATTCAACTTAATAATTGTGTCATGTGTCTTTATTTCCACTGTGGGGGGGGGGGTGGGAACTTGCCACGCAATCCCCAGCTATAGAACTGGCCGGGGCTAATGGGAATTGTATCCAAAACGTCTGGAGGGCGCCATGTTGAGGAAGGCTTTTGCGAGAGTCTCAGAACCCACAGAGCAACTTCCCTGAAATGCTGTGCCGCCATCTGCGCTTCCCAGCAATTTGAACTCTGGCACCTCATCTATATTGGATGAGAGGTTATTTTAGCTCCTGCTAAGAGATTTCAGCGGTTATTCCAAGAGACACTCAGCGAAACGCAGCCGTTTTGGAGAAACGGCCTCTTTGATGGGAAGATGGATAGGCCTGGGATGAAGACTGACAGAGGGAGGAAAAAACCTGCAAGATCCCCGCCGATCACAGGGGACTGCTTTTTCAACTCCCAGCAGCCTTTTGTTGTTGTTGTTTAGTCGTTTAGTCGTGTCCAACCATCTCGTCCTCTGCAGTCCCCTTCTCCTTGTGCCCTCCATCTTTCCCAACATCAGGGTCTTTTCCAGGGAGTCTTCTCTTCTCATGAGGTGGCCAAAGTCTTGGAGCCTCAGCTTCAGGATCTGTCCTTCCAGTGAGCACTCAGGGCTGATTTCCTTCAGAATGGAGAGGTTTGATCTTCTTGCAGTCCATGGGACTCTCAAGAGTCTCCTCCAGCACCAGAATTCAAAGGCATCCATTCTTCGGCAAATGGTCCTTCTTTATGGTCCAGCTCTCACTTCCATACATCACTACTGGGAAAACCATAGCTTGAACTATACGGACCTTTGTTGGCAAGGTGATGTCTCTGCTTTTTAAGATGCTGTCTAGGTTTGTCATTGCTTTTCTCCCAAGAAGCAGGCATCTTTTAATTTTGTGATGGCTGTCACCATCCTTTTAGTCATGCCAAACTACCCTTCTTGACGCCACAGACATGGAGGTGATTGTGCCAGAATTAATCTCCGCCTTTAGGGGTTCCGCAGCGCTGGGGATGGGTTGTGCAAAGAAGGGGCTCGACTGAGTTTTAAAAAGAATAAAATTCTCATGGCATGGAAAATAATATAGGATCCCTAATGGCAGGTGAAATTCAAGTGGGGAGAATATCATATGAATTTTCTGGTTCCAAGAAGAGATGGAGGAGCAATTCATTCACTTTGGGGGTGATTCTCTGCCAGACATAGGAAGAGCTTCAGCAGTTGCCTTCATGCAGGTTTTGGATCTGGTGCAACTTTGTGCTGCCTTTACGCCTGTTTATTAGGGACAGGATTGCTGCCTTGGTGTTTTAAGGTGAGCTCTATACGTATTTTGAAATTTGCACTTGGCTGAATTTTGCAAAGCAGTTCTACAACCCCAAAACATATGTATCTATTAGGGGAAAATGTTGCCTACAAATGCATATATTAGTCAAAATCACATTTAAAATGCACAGGGGAAATGTTTGCAACCATGTATCAATTAGGATAAATGCAGACTAAAATCCTGATAACTTTCCATGAGGATTTCTTTTTTTCTTAAAAAAATTGAAAATACAATGCAGAAATATGACGTGGACTTTAAGATTGGGGTGGGGGAGTCGGAATGGACAGATTCAAACCCTAACCCTTATCGGTGTGGTGCAGTGCTTAGAGTGCCGGACTATGATATGAGAGACAAGGGTTTGAATCCTCATGCAAGGCATTAAGATCACTGGGTAACTTTGGGGAGTGGTCGGTCACTCTCAGCCTAACCTACCTCACAGGGCTGTTGTGTGGATTAAATGAGGAAGGGAAGAACAGTGCAGGCCACTTTGAGCTCCTTGACGAAAGAGTTGGGATATAAATGCAATAGACAAACAATAAGAGAGAGAGAGAGAGAGAGAGAGAGAGAGAGAGAGAGAGAGATGATCAATAGATAGATGATCGATCGATCAATAGATGATAGGTAGATAGGTAGATATAGATGATAGATAGATAGATAGATAGATAGATAGATAGATAGATAGATGATAGATAGATATAGATGATAGATAGATAGATGATAGATGATCAATAGACAGATGATTGATCGATCAATAGATTATAGGTAGATAGATAGATAGATAGATAGATAGATAGATAGATGATAGATAGATGATAGATAGATAGATAGATGATAGATAGATAGATAGATAGATAGATAGATATAGATAGATAGATAGATAGATAGATAGATAGATAGATAGATAGATAGATGATAGATAGATAGATAGATATAGATGATAGATAGATAGATGATAGATAGATAGATAGATAGATAGATAGATGATAGATAGATAGATAGATAGATAGATAGATAGATAGATATGATAGATAAAGATGAGAGAGAGAGAGAGAGAGAGAGAGATGATAGATAGATGATAGATCAGAACAGTCCTTTTGCTACATTGCAAGAATCATCATTTATTATACTGATTACAATGATAATTGACTGCCCTCCTTTGCAGGTTCTGTGGGCAGACCTTTTTCCATTTCCTCCCTGAGCAGCCACAGACTGGGAGCAGGGCGGGAAGAGGAGGGGCTGCCCCTCTGCGCCCCGAAGGTGTGTGCATTTGTGACGCCACCCCTGCTCCCAAGCCACCTGAGGCCCGGCACTTCCACAGGAAGGAGCGAGGGGGCGGAGAGAGGATGTCAGCCTCTTTCTCGGGAGACCTTATTACTCTGTGTGTGTTCCGGGCTGCTACCGCCTCGGGGACGATGTCATAAATTAGTCTCTTGGCGCAGCCACCTAATTTAGTGATCTCACCGGAGGGCCGGCGCTTCATTCAGAGTTTGGGAACAGCAACGCGGTGCTCGGAAAATCTGAGTCCATTCATGCTTGCAGCCTGGGCTGCCAAACAGCTGGGGCTCTTGCAAGCCATAGGTTAATGGCAGCGCTGAACGGGGGCAGTTCTGCCATCGAAAAGGGCAATTGGCCCTTATTTGTGGGGCTGGCTTCCTTTGGCAGGGAGAGCTCCTAGGGACAGAATGCCTTGTGATAAATAATAATAATAATAATAATAATAATAATAATAATAATTTATTTATACCCCGCCCATCTGGCTGGGTTTCCCCAGCCACTCTGGGCAGCTTCGAACAGAATATTAAAATACAATAATCTTTTAAACATTAAAAGCTTCCCTGAACAGGGCTGCCTTCAGATGTCTTCTAAATGTCAGGTAGTTGTTTTTCTCTTTGACATCTGGTGGGAGGGCCTTCCACAGGGCAGGCGCCACCACTGAGAAGGCCCTCTGCCTGGTTCCCTGTAACTTGGCTTCTCACAGTGAGGGAACCGCCAGAAGGCCCTCGGAGCTGGACCTCAGTGTCCGGGCAGAACGATGGGGGTGGAGACGCTCTCTGCCGCCTGTCTCAACGCCAATCTCTTTTTTCGTCTTTCCATCTTCCGCTCCCCTCGATCATTTCTTGCCACTGAGCCTCACAGACATCCTGCGTTTCTGAATCAGCCGCTGTCCTGAAATGTCCACTGATGGGACTCAGAGATGGAGAGAATTCATGCATTTCAACAAAGGTCATAATAATATACGGGGAAGAAACACACAGGGAGTTCATTAGTATGTTTCGGTCGTGAAAAAGGAACATTCCATGCAAGTGATCATTAGGAAAGGAATCGAAGCTGCCAGTATTCTTATGCAAATCTATGGTGCAGCCAGAACTGTGTAGGGTTCTGGTGGCCTCACCTCAAAAAAAAAAAGAATAATATTGTCTGGGTGACTACCACCTGCAGGACACGCAGGGTGACTTGATTCCTCAAGGCTTTCAGATGCTAAGTGAGCTTCTCTGCGCATTTTGACAATTTGTTTTTCAAAGCTCAGGCTTAATGGACGAGGGAAGCATCAGGCATCTGCAGTCCTATAGGTGAGCACCATGTACTGGCAACCACACAGTTTGCATTAATAAATCAAGCCCAAAATTGAAGGGAACAACCTGTTCTTCTGCGAGATGGAGGAGGAGGGGGAGAAGGAGGAGAAAATCCACCTGACATCATTTGACGTGGTGCCAGGGCAGTTGTGCCCATATCCCTGCCTCCTTGCCCTGCTTCTCCAGGGGTGCTCTGGACCCCGCACTGCCACCTCCTCCACATTCCTGAAGCTATTTTGAACATTGTTTAGCATCAGTGAAGCAACCAAAGTTTCTATGGTGGGAGACCTTTCAAAACCACAGAGGAGAACTGGACAAACCATCCGATGCAAAACACAGCAACCTCAGAAGTCTCTGCTCCTGCAGTATTTCAGGAATTTCTAGGCTGGCTTCCTGCTTCTGCCACTCAAGGTGGCTCACAAGAATAGTTAACATGTGGAACTCCCTGCCACAGGAGGCAGCGATGGCCACCGACTCGGATGGTTTTAAAAGAGGACGAGACCAACTCATTCACAAAGGAAGTGGCTATCTACAGCGACGTGTAGAAGCACTTTCTTTTATCTGCCTTGTCTTTTCTCTCTCCAGAAATGCACCTGGGCTTCCTTCAAAGCCACAGCTGCCTTTCCTGGAGGAGAACACAAACATACACCCCAATTCTTTGGGTTTTGCACTTTCACGCCGGGAACTCTCATTCTTGCAGCCTTTATTTCAGCCTCGGATCCGTGCCAGCAGAGGGCGCCACAAACGCAGTGCTTGCGCAACCACTCAGAGGAGGGAAGAAATATCAGAGAAGGATGAGGAAGGCGAGGAGAGCAGTCGGAGGAACGTGGCTAGCACAGCCCCGATGAAAAAGTTTTGCTGGGCCAGTTGCAAACTGACCGCGGTGCCTTTGGCCAAAGAGCCCGGCTCCCTCTGACGCCTCCTCCCCCCATTGCCTGTTTATACCACCGAGACGGCCATCTATCATCTCCAACCCTGGCACGCTTTCGCTCCACTTGCCGGGTCGGCATTAGTACACGGCAGCCTTAAGTGACACCGTGACCTACTTTCCCGTCTCCCCGAGCACTGCAGTGGTAGCACGCAGCACACAGCCTCAGTCGGCGCAGTTCTTGGGCGGATCTGATCTTTTTTAAAAAGAGAGAGAGAGTTAAAGAGCTCTGCCGAGATGTAATAGGGCCCTTTTCAAAAATTCATAGCTCTTTGCAAGAGGTTGCTCGAGGTAAGGTCTGCTCAGAGGACCACCAGAAGACGCCAGCGAGGAGGAGCAGGAGGAGGGGAGAGAGATGGTGGAAAACCCAAGGCCTGGTGTTTTTCGGAAAGCAAAGGTCCTCGCTTGCCAAGCGTCAGAAGAACGGGCCAAGCAGGCCAGAAGCCTGTCTCCAGCCTGGGTAGCCAGATCAACACCGTAAAGCGGAGAAATACGAGGTGCCCACCGACCTTCCAGTTGCCCCTGTTTACCAGGAAGTGTCTCTATTTTCGGCCATCGCCTTTCGGCAGCTGCGTGCAAGCACGCGGCCTCAACACACGCACACAGGGCGGGCTTCGGGTTTTGCCCCAGTCGCCAGGGCCTCCAGAAGTCAAATGTTGGGGGTACAGAGGGCCTTCAAGAGGTGGTACCTACTGGATGGCAAGTCACCTGACCTGTCCCCATGAAACGGTGGATAGGATTGCACCTCCTAGGAACATAGGAAGCGGAGAAGATCAGAAGAGTCTGCTGGATTGACCAATGGCCCATCTAGACCATCATCCTGTCCCTATAGTGGACAACCACTTCAAAAGGAGGTTCAGATGGTGGCATCGAGAATGGGCGTTTTCTGCAGCGCCTCCCCATTGGTGGAATGCTCTCCCTAGGGAGGTTCATCTGGGCTGGCTCAGTCAGTAGAGCACGAGACTCTTAATCTCAGGGTTGTGGGTTTGAGCCCCACGTTGGGCAAAAGATTCCATCCAACTCTACAATTCTGTGATGACCTCTGGGATAAGTTCATACCCTTCAACATTCCTCAGATGAAGATACGGACGTTCTATTCTATATCAGTATCGTTGCTAGTTGTATTTATTGCTTTTGAGGGTTGCCCCCCCACCCCAGGCTTCCCGAAATAAAATGCATAAATCCAGAGATTTCTGTGCTTAAAATACTCCAGTTTTATGTGTTTCCTCTAATAACCTGATCAGGAGAAAATGCACAAGCAGTTATACTGATGTAGAATAGAACGTCCCTATTTTCATCCGAGAAATGTTGGAGGGAGTATAAGTTTAGGTGCCAGGCATAAATGTACCTCCATAACCAGTCTTTTGGCTTTTAACCACCTGTGGCCCTTTAGAAATGGATGGGATGGGTTTTTTTTTATAAAAAAAATGTATTTCTCTTTTGGTTTCAACGTATCTAGGTGGGGTTTATTGTCTATTTGTTTGGTTTTAAGTCACATTGGATTGCCCTGGGCAGGATAAACCGACTGACAACTTCAATAAATAATTGCAATAACCTAACCATATGGTATGCCAGTGACTGCCTGAGCTTTAGTGACGATGCAGAAAGTTTGGAAACATTTCAACTGGCTCGTGAGAAAGCTGGCATTCTGAAATGGGCAAGGAGCAAGGCAGAGGGCTCCTGTGCCCAAATCCTGATTGTAGGTTTCCCACGGGCAACTGCGAGAACAGGATGCTGGACTAGACGGGCCATTGGCCTGATCCAACATTGTCCTTATGTTAGGGTGTTATTCTGCAAAATCCAGCCAGACCTTTCTAGCCCCCTTGGGGCTCCAAGTAAGTGGATTCACGCGCTTTGGGCCATGCATTATGAAAGCAGGGCTTGCGGGCTGCAAACACAGGATTTTAGGCTCCAGGCTGACCCTTGGCGATGGTCTAATTAAAGAAATCAAATGAACTGGCCTCGGACAAGACGTCCCTCCTTCTCCGCCAAGAGGCTCCAGCCTGCCCCAGGCTCACCCTCTGGTCCAGGGCTGCTTCTCTCCAATCGCTGCAGCAGCAGCCCTCAAGCAGAATTGCGCTCCTCTTGGGTCGAAAGAGAAGCTTTCAGGCTTGTCTCTATGGAGGCCTTGTTTGCTTTCTTTCGGAGCGGTTTGGCCGCGCAGGGCAAGTTTGTTTCCACAGCTCGTTTGAGCAGGAAGACACGGTGGATTTTTGCCTGGAGTCTGGGTCACGCTGACCTTGTTTTTCGGGAGGGGGGTGTGCTCCGTTCTGTGTACAGCGTTATTTTCAAAAAAATAAATGTTTGCAGCCTCCAAGATGGCTTGAGCGCAGGCCAGCAGCTCCGCGGTGCTACCGATTCCCCCGAGCGCCACGCAGAGCGAAAGGCACGTTCCAGGCCGCCCCGCTAAACAAATCCAAACTCGTAAGGTTTTATAGCTTGCTAAAGCAGCAGAACAGCAAAGCTTTCTCTGCTCATGTGTATATAAGGAGGGCAGCCTTCTCCCCGCATACCTTGGCAAATCTGAGAGAGGGAGGGCTGCTCTCGCCTTGGCTCCACAGGGACTAGGCACTTTACAAGAGTGTCACATGGTGTCAGAAGGCACTGCTGTCTGTCACATGGGGCACAAACTGCTCTGCTTTTATTTCCCTTTTTCTTCTCCCCTGGCCTGCTGATTGGAACTGGCCTTCGGCGTGCATAACTGTGCCGGGCTGCAGCCATGCAGACATTTAGGACTGGGGGCTGGAATGGCTTGAACACAGTTGTGCAATGCACTGGAAACCACCACAGGGGACAGCTGCTTTCGTTCTGGCATCCCGCTTGCCAATTTCCCACAGGCAGCTGCCCCACTGTGAGATGCTGGTCTAGGCCCACTATACCTGAAGGAGCGTCTCTATCCCCATCGTTCTGCCCGGACCCTGAGGTCCAGCTCTGAGGGCCTTCTGGCGGTTCCCTCCCTGCGAGAAGCAATGTTACAGGGAACCAGGCAGAGAGTCTTCTTAGTGGTGGCACCCGCCCTGTGGAACGCCCTCCCACCAGATGTCAGGAAATAAACAACTATCTGACCTTTAGAAGACATCTGAAGGCAGCCCTGTTTAGGAAAGTTTTTAATGTTTAATGCTGTAGAGTGGTACCTCAGGTTAAGTACTAAATTTGTTCCGGAGGTCCGTTCTTAACCTGAAACTGTTCTTAACCTGAAGCACCACTTTAGCTAATGGGGCCTCCCGCTGCTGCCACTGCGCGATTTCTGTTCTCATCCTGAAGCAAAGTTCTTAACCCGAGGTACTATTTCTGGGTTAGCGGAGTCTGTAACCTGAAGCGTCTGTAGCCTGAGGTACCACTGTATCTGACTTTTAGAAGACATCTGAAGTTTAAGGAAGTTTTTAAATGTTTAATGCTGTATTGTGTTTTTAATATTCAGTTGGGTGCCGTCAGGAGTGGCTAGGGAAACCCAGCCAGATGGGCGGGGTATAGATAATAAATAATAAATAAAATAAATAGGTGGGCCACTGGCCTGATCCAGCTGCCTATTCTTATGCTCCTAACTTCAAGGATGGGCTACCCCAATGCACTCTGTGTGGGGCTGCCCTTGGGGTCAGTCTGGAGGCTTCAGCTTATGCACAACACAGCGGCAGTTTGCTTGGGGGGGGGCTACCCCCAGCATATGGCACCTTGCTAGCAGGATTTGGCCTGGCTGGCAATGTGATCCCAGGCCAAGTTCAAGGCATTGGTACTAAGGCTGCCCCTATTCTGTGGAATAGTATTACATTCCTTGCAATGCTAGAGAAGACATGCGAGCGAATGTTAATAATAATAATAATAATAATAATAATAATAATAATTTATTATTTATACCCCACCTATCTGGCTGGCCTTCCCCAGCCACTCTGGGCGGCTTCCAAAAAAATATTAAAATACTGTTCCTCCTGGCTGGAGTATCCTTCCTTTTGCATGTGATAGAAGATGGGCGTGACCTTACCTGTCCAGGTAACAAAAGGACGAGTCACGCAGCAACCCCCCCTTTTTTACTTCCTTCTTTGTTTGACCAGCTTTTAGCTCTCAGCCAGCAGAAGCACTGGGATTATTCCCCCATGTGGGGTAGATCCACATGTATATATTTGTAACTAAGTCTGCCTTCAAGAATCCAACTGTGAACTGATGTGAGTGAACTTCTTTTATTGACTTTGAATAAGATTGTGGCGTCTTTATTCTTTTAAGAGGGATTCAAGGGAACTTACCAGGAACATACAATTCAATCTGAGACAGACTGAATTGTATAGTAGTGAGAGGTTCACACGAGCCTGCAACCAGCTATCTGCTGTGCAGGTAAAAAGGGGAATGTAAACTCTGCTAAGTAAAGGAACTTGCTAGCGCAAGTTAGGAAGGATATTATTAAACAAAATATCCTCTCCTGCCACCCTGAACATGCCCACAGGGTGGAGGTTCCAGCATTACAGAAGTCCTAAAGTTCACTTCAGGGGCTTCCTACACGAAATCAGCCTACCGTTGTTTCCAGTCATGCCTACTCCTCTATTCCTTAAACAATTCCCCCCCCCTTTACTTCCTCAGCCCTCAAAGAATGAGCGGAGTGCCTTCTCCAGTCTACTTGTGCAGGTGTTTTGCTCACGACTTCAGCATGTGTTTTGCCGTCTTATCATTCCATTGCACGCCGACTGGAGGAAGACCTTCAAAACAGTGATTTGCATCCAGTGATCTGGCCGTCGGAGTCCTGCTTGGGGTTTTCACACAGATGGGGCACTGTGGCTGTGGTTTGAGTGATTGAGACAGTGCCGGATTTACGTGTAAACTAAACAAGCTATAGCTGAGGGCCCCACTCTCTTGAGGGCCCACAAAAAAATTAAAGGAAAAAAATCTGGATGCACATTTCCAAAATATAAGATAAAAATAAAATAAAACCTAATACAGAAACAGTGTTTTGTGTTGTGTAGGCTCCTATGATGTAAGTAATGGGCCCCACCTGCTAGCCTGCTCCCTAAAATATCACTGGTTTGCTCATTTCTATATATAGGGTGCCTATATTCTGCATGTGCAAATGGCTTGAGATACCTATGAGGTCCATAAATTACCATATAGCATATATTCAACACAAAAAACAGCGACAATTTGTTGTTGACAAAGGACAGCTGGACATATAAAGGGCCCCATTACCTTCAGTAGCTTAGGGACTCATCAAACCTAAATCCGGCCCTGGATTGAGAGCAACGCTACAACACTGCCAGGGATGTGAATAGTCTGCGGATTATCCTTTAGCAACAAGTCTGCTTGTACAGATTCTTTTCTCTTTTGGACAGAACTTTGGTTTTGAGACATCCCATATTGCACTTGAACATGGTTTTGGCACTGCATACATTATGTAAAGGCTATATCTAAAGAAACGGACCCTTGATGGAACACAAATGTCTTGTTTTTACATTCTGCCTTTGAGAAGTTCTATATAATTGCATACAGAGTTATGTAAGCTGTGTTTCTTTATTCCTCTGTTTGCCTGTGTGTTGTGCTTTCTTAGGCATTCGTGGGATAATATGAACATTAGAATTTGTGGCCCTCCCTGTGGAATGCCCTCCCATCAGATCTCAAGGAAATAAATAACTATGTAACTTTTAGAAGACATCTGAAGGCAGCCCTGTATTGGGAAGTTTTTAATATTTGATGTTTTTATATGTGTTCATGGTTATATGGTTCAGCTGGACCATAAAGAAGGCTGAACGCTGAAGAATTGATGCTTTTGAATTCTGGTGCTGGAGGAGACTCTTGAGAGTCC